GCCCGTCAAGCTGCTGCTCCTCACCTGCGTCACTCGGCTTTGCTTCATTTGACATGCGCATTCACTTGACCCAGCTTCACATGCCTTCTCGGCTGCTAAAACGGCATGCCCTCAGCGACCGGCATAAAAAAACGCTGGTGCTGAGAAGACAAGCCGATGAGCCAACGACCTTCGAGGTTGAGCAGCAAGCGCTGCAGCGGCGGCCGAGGCACTCCGCTCAACACGGAGAAATGCCTGTTTGCCCACACATTGCACCTTTCTCAACCAGAGCCTCTGACAAGCCCGCCTCCGACATGGCCCTCTGAACCTGAGGTCTGCAACTTACCCGCTACATGAAACCAGGAGATATGCACCTCTTCGTCTTACCGGGCCTCGACAGAGAAGCCACCGTCCGCGAAGCGCATTCCCTTGCGGCACTCGCATTGCATTGGCCGACAAACGGAAGCCGCAGCGGCCAAAAGCTCTGTCTCTGACTGCCAATTTGTTGTCAGCCAGCAATGGCAACTCCCACACGCAAACTGACAGCCACTGGCAATAGTGTTGCCTCTCGCAACGTTCCAGTGGCAAGATCTATGTACATTGTCGAACTACGCTTGCAGAACGATGGGATGTGTTGGCACATCCTGTGCGGCCATCTTGCAGGCATCAGGTCGTGTGCCCTTGTATGCCTCGCAAACCTTGAGCGGCTGGAAGCTTCAAGGAGGAGACAGTCTCTGACAAAGGTTGTACACGTCAGCAAGCTTAGACGGATTGATACATCTGGACAGCGACGACACGCATGGGATCGCGAATGCCAAGAGGCCGTCCGCAACAAATTGTCGGGCTGGTCGACAGGCTGTCCGTTCACCACGAGATAGGGCACGCCTAGTTGGCCGGGCGTTGCGGGAAAAAACTTGCTTAGAGCTAGGATTGCCTTCGTCTCTCGCCGTCGTGGACCAGAGGGGTTTTGCAGCTTTGCAGTTATGGATGTTGAAAAAGTTGAAATCCAGCAGTCTTGATGACTCCTAATTAGCTTGGAGGTTGAGGCCCTTGCCAGCGAACAAGCAAATTCCAGATGCAAAAGATTTCTTCTCCACTGCCACCCCCTGCGCAAGAGTCGGCTTGCCTGGGTGCTCTGGCGTCGCCTTTGCCTGTGCGATGACGGCGGAATCACCCTCCGAGCCGGAAAAGCCTTGACACGACAAATCATAGTCTTCACAGCACATGCACAAGTTTCAAGCGACTGCATTGGAAAATGAGCAAGTCATAAGACTTAAGACCGTCGCAATGGAAGACAGCGGCTTTGTCAATCTGGTTGGCATCTGCACAGGCTGAAACCGTCTCCTTCGCAACTTCGGTTGGCTTGACACTGGCAGTACTGGCTCAGTGCAACCAGCCACAGTTGCTCGCAGTAGGCATATTTTGCAACAGATACCTTGGAGAACGTGTCATACTTTGCCTCGACGCCTCAGGATCACCCCATGCTTTCATGACGTATTGATGGTCGGCACGCACATGCGACCTTACCAGACACTGCAACATTTTCGCTTTTCCAAGGCATGGACAGTGGGCGAAGGACATGAACTGCAGCACGTGCTCGCCAGCGACTTGCTTCGCACAGGCCATGTACCGATTTGCGTCGCACTCTTGGCTGCCATGCTGGCAAACAAGAGCCCCGGTGAAGCAATCCTGAAGGCAAGCATGCGTTCCCCACATAGAAGAGCACATCGATGCACAGAGGGGCATCCTTCGCAGGCTGGGACGCTCCAGCACCGCAGTTCTTGTTGAAGCACTTACGCGCTGTCATGTCCTGGGCGTCCGGGACAGTGGCGACAGTCTTGGGATGTTGGCCGACTTGCGAAAGGCAAAAACCAACGGCAACAAGGCCAGCTGCACAGAAGCCATCATAGCCGGAAAGCCAAGTCTCATACTCTCCTGCTCCCTTGCATTCGCTTGTGACGAAATATGCATTTCCGAAGGGATAGAACTCGAAGTCCTCGCGCACAACCCGTAACACGCGCAAAGAACAGATATCCCACCAGCGGCCCTCAAGCCCTTAAGCTCAAGGTGAGTGCCAACTGTCCATGATGGCCGCAACGCTGGGTGTCGACAAGGTCTTGTTGACCTAAGGATCATCAGAACGCGTCCTTCTTTGAAGAGTCGTGTTTGTTTTTTACTAAGGCAGACGCCGGTCCGGCAATGGCTTCTCGGCAAAATGGACAGCCAGCTTCCGCAAAGAATTCGACCTTCACCTCGTCCGCAATATCATGTCAGGATTCCACGAAGTCTCTGTTGATCTCTGTCGGTTTGTTGCGCCTTCGGCGCATCTTCCGTACTGGCCGTCGCCGAGATGACAGCGAGGACCAGAAGCTTCAACGCCATGGCGAAATATGAAAGAAAGTCAGCGGGGCAATGGACAATAGCGGCTGCACAGAGTTGCGTCCTCAAGGAGCATTCGATGCAAGGGCGTTCGCAAACCGAACCTCCTCCACTCTAACCAGGCGGTTGTCGAGCCTTGCAGACACGGTCCGCAGGGATGCTTTGTCATGACAGCGCACCTCTTGGGCCTGGACATTTCCAAACGCCGGTTGGTTTCAGAATGCATGCTTTCCAGCCTCACATCCTTGGCACTGCATTGTGGCAACATGTCGGTGGCGTGCGTGCGCCGTGTCCAGATACGGTTCATCTCATAGCTCCTGCCCTGGCATGAATATAGAACTTGGTGGCAATCTTTCACGGACAAACCTCGCTTTTGGCAGGTGCAACCATGACGGCCCCATAGTACCACTTAACACGCACGTGCCCATCGCCTTGTGATGATATGACACGTGCAGGTGTATATGTACGTAAGTATATATGTATGTATGTCTGTATGTACGTACGCTCGTACACGTGTACAATCGCATTCACGCACGCATGCATGTATGGCATGGCATGGCATGGCATGGCATGCATGCATATGTGCATGCATGCGTGCGTGCATGTATGTCTGAACGTTGGACATCTGTGTGTCTGTTCGTCGCCTTGACAGTTCGTCTGTATGTCTGTATGCCTGCATATGCTTTTGTACAAATCGGGATATCTACAGACATATATATATATATATATATGTGTGTGTGTATATATATATGTAGAGAGAGATATCGACACAGAATGGATATAGATATAGACATAGACATAGAATATAGATCTAGAAGCAGATGTAGACATTGACACAAACGTAGATGACAATGTAAATATCTACATATGCCTATGTGTGCCTTGTAACATTGCGTATATATATATATACATACACACATACATACATACATACATACATACATACATTGACATAAGTCATAACTGTATATTATATATATATATGTGTATATATATGCATGTCGTGTCAACCGAACTGAGGCGCTGGAGCCGTGGATCCAGATTTGAAATCCAAAGCTCCAGACCTGGAACCTAAGACCGAGCCTTGTTACCCCAGATTCCCACCCTGGCCGCCTTCAAGCCTCGTGAACAGCTTTCTGTCATTTCTTGAATCCAGGCTTGGAGACGGCCAGGAGCAGCAAGACTGCTGTTTTGCTTTTGCGCGGCAATACACGTCCTAAGGTGGACACCTCAAAGATCCTGAAAGTTTCTCCACCGTTTAGCTTGAGCTTCCTCCTCTCTATGCGTCCCTCGGATCGTGGCAAGACTAAGGGCGCCTCCTGGCTGAATGTTGCATTGGTACTACAAACACGGTACGAGATATGACTGGAGATGCCCTCTTGCCGGATCATGGCTGGAATCTGCGCCGTGGCAGGACAACTCCAGCGATGAAAGGATTCGGATTTTGCTTATATTCTGGATGATTCGTTTCACAGCGTATTGCAGGTGTTGCAGGTGTCATGAAAGTTTCATGTCGTACAGGCACAGCTGCGTTGCTCCAAACACCTCCTTCGGGATCCCGTTGGTTTCTTGCTCTCTCTGGGCATGATTCAGAGTTTGCTTCGCGGTAGCTCATCGCCGGAAATGCCTTCCGAATCCTGGCAAACGTTTGCTCGCGAAAAACAATGGCCGTTGACCTTGTCACGATGCAATACCGGGTCCAGCTACTGGTGTCGCTTGGCCGTGACAACATCAGCCAAAGGTAAGTGCAGGAAGCCACGCCAGTCTCAGGATCGCACGATGCTGCTGTTGAAGTTCCCCAAGAAGTCCTCCCAAAACGGTGTCCATACTTCCTACCACTGCATACCTTCGTCGCCCACTGCGCTCCTGCCATGCTGCACTTTCATCTAGCTGTCTCCTCAGCAGACTTCTCTCGACCTGCTCAGACGGATCGTTTTCGCAGTCTGATGATCCGCTCTCGGGATCTCTCGGGCCTCTTCGTTGCTTCGGCGAAGAGCCTGCACTTCCTCGCCTTTGAAACGTGTACAGGAGTCCCGCAGCGAGCGCCTTGGAATACAGCAGATGCAAATCGAGACGAGTGCTACGCTTCTGAGGCCGCCGACAGCTCCCGGGCAAAGTCCCAGGCTCGGTCCTGGTCGCGAACTCGGGCCATGGAGCGCGAGCCATCCGGAGACCTGCTCGTGCCCCCTCTCGCATCGAGTGAAGACATGAAGTTCTCTCAGATCCAAGGTCCGGGCTCCATCGCTCAGCCGAAGTGGAACATCTACGCTGCGTGGCTTCGGCACTGTCCGTTGCCTGTTCAATCCTGCTCTGCCCAAGGCGTACTGTGCGGGGTCATGGTCGGTGTGGTGCGAATGCCCCGCAAAAATGTCCGTTGCGCGGCAGTGGCACATGCCTTCTACAGTATGAGGACATCAGCACTTGTTCAAGCAGCTGCATATGGGTGGCAACAGTTTCTGATGCGCGCACCGTCCAACAACTGCAGCACATGTTCTCGCCGAATGTCATGCGTCATGCCTTGGTTTTTGACTCGAGCACGCAAGGCAGGCTAAGGTAAAGGCGTCGTCACACCAATTCCAGCCGCCAGAGGATGAGAGATCCGGCTGTACAGCTCATTGTCCGAATTTGTCGTGCTTGAATTCTCAGCAGACCCCAGGCGCATATGGCCCACATAAACCTCCCTCGGTTGTGATGATGTGACCTTCATAACAACGGTGCCTCAATCCAAGCAGCTGACGGACGGAAGGGAGGGAGGGAGAGGAAGGGAGGGACGAGTGAGAGGGGGGATCGCAAGGGACACGCAGAGAGACCCAGAGAACGAACCCAAGATGTCTGAGCAGCAAGCGCATTCGCCGCCATGTCGTTGGCGGCACTCTGTGGCAACTCGGGCGTTGCTGCGAAACAACATTTGTGTTCAGCCAGACACTGCAAGCAGGAAAGAGCTTGGTTTTCAAGACAAGGCACACCCCAAACACCGCGAACAATGTGTCCGAAGTACTGGTCATCCTGAATCCTGCACAAGCTCCATGTTTGACGCAAGGCCTGTGAGGCTCACAGCTCCACTCTTTTGTCTGAGGCGGTCCCGGCCGAGATGGTCTCGTAATGCCTGGCGAAGTCCCCCAGAGAGATCCTGCAAAGAATGATACAAAACACGAATCTCTCCGAAACGGCACGTTGCCCAAGGCACCGTGGCCCACCGTGGCTGCCAAGTTCGGACAGGAGCTCCATAGTCACCTCGCTAAAGCCACGGCACCTAAGTACGAGCCTGTACGGTCTCCGGCCTCCTTCTGGCTCCTGAGTCCTGCCTGGGCGTGATCACATCAACGCAACGCAGGCACAAAGACTCCGCTGCCACTGCTCTCCTGGACGTCCGGATGCTTTGAGGCATTGAAGCGAGCCTTCGTGACGCGGTGTTCCGACTGGCAGCGACACATAACGAAGGCCAAGGCCAGGGCGCGCAGGGCGCGCAAGTCCACCAAGCCCTCCCGGTCGCAGAGGCTGGCAAAAGCCTGAGGACAGGTCGGGACAACAGGGCGCGCGCGACAAGGACTGCAGCTCAAAAGGCCGTGCCAGAAGCCCTTCCAGCGTGTTTTTCTCCCCGAACAGAGTGAGCGAGTCTGAACGCAGGTGAAACCTTTCCCATTTGGCCCTTGAGATGCGAGCCTGGCTGGAAATGTCAGCTTGCTTTACTAGTCTGCTCAAGACTGTCTGCAGTGCAGGGTCAGCCCATTTTCGCCGGAAGTTATCCTTCTGCGCGGTTGCCGACAAGTCCACATTGGAGTGCCGTGCACGGCAGAGGATGTCAAACTTTGGTTTTTACCGAAATTTCCAGCAGGCATCGCACCCTTTCGACACCTCGCCGTTTAAGTGCATCCAGCTCTACCGCTTGGAGCTCAGTAACTGGGCTGGCCGACCCGTGGAAAACATCAGAGCCGGGAGGACCCCGAGATGCGCACAGGTTCAGCAGCCGCTGAAAGTCCGACACATGCCTAGAGCATCGAGAGTTGCGATGGAGCTGAGCACACACAAGTCGCTTCATGTATACCTACCTACCTACCTACCTACATACATACATACATACATCACATCACATCACATCATATCATATCATACCATATCAAAACATATCATATCATACCATATCAAAAAATATCATATCAAATCACACCATATCAAATCATACCATATCAAATCATATCATATCAAATCATATATCAAATCATATATCATAAATCATATATCATATACCATATATCATATATCCTTTATCATATATCATATATCCTTTACCACATATCTATATGTATGTATGGGTGTGTGTGTATATATGTGAACACCGACAAAGACAAGGGTGCCAGCATCCATCCTTGCAAGAGTAGTAGCTGAGTAGTACGTTTCGGAGCCAGTGCCACTGGCAGGCACTGAATTTGCTGCGAGGAAAAAGCAAGACTGCTCCCATTCGGGACAACAAAGGCAAGCTGTTCACAGTGAAATCTTTTTTGTTGTGATTTCAAGCCACTCAGACTCCTTGGGTATCCTGTACACAACCTCAGAAGCTGCGAGTCTTCGACTGTGATCTGTTTCGAGCACAGCGAGCAGGAACTCCTTGAATGAGGGAGTCATGTCGGTGTCCTTCCGTCCAGATGGTGGCAGACGAAGCTTGCGAGCTGATTCCTCTGACGGAGATCCGGTCGGAACTACCTGAGACCATATCCACAACCACACAGGGACGGAACACAGCAAGCTCCTTTTGACACCTGCCTATACCTGCCTGGCAATACGCTTACCTAGCTTACCAGTAGGATTCAAGCGGCCGTCCAACTTGACACTTCCTTGCCGGCAACCAGAGATGCACCGAGGAGGCCCAGAGCGAAGACGTCGCAAGGCCGCGTCGCTCCGACGGGAAGGATGTTGACATTAATGTCAGCCTTACTTCGCTATGACAACATCTCTTCCCTGTGAGGTACAGCTACTCTTGGTTTCCTTCGTTTTTCAACCTGACAGCATATGGAGCGCCTGTTTAGTTATTTAAGCCTGGCTCCTGTTTTTGAGCCTGACCGTAAGCGGTGGTCCCGCATTGCAACTGAGTGGCTTCCATGGCCTCCTCGCTATCAATTGCTCGGGCGCAGCCTAAGTCGATGACCTTCACTTGCACTGACTCGCTTTCGTATCTACCGTTGATCTGACTGACGTGCATGACCACATTCTTCGAATGGAGGTCACGGTGGGCGATCCCAACTGAATGCAGGTAAGCAATTGCAGAGGCAATCTGTGTCAAACACTGCCGTCGGCAGGCCACATCCAGAGCCGTGGTACTCTTGTCGTGCCAGGGCAGCCACCGATTCAGTGTGCTACCGTGACATAGCTCCAGGATCATGGCAACTCCCTTGACACCTTCGTCGAGTTCATCTTCGAGAGCATATGCCTTGACAATTCTCTCGTGCTGAAGTCGCTTCAAAATTTGGAATTCCTTGCGGATGGCATCCCCATTCGTGCCTTCCTCACGGGACAGGGATGATAGGGAAAGGGCCAATCATTCCTGGCAAAGGCTCTTATCACACGCATGCTACTATGTACGCCTGTGCACGCATACAGCAGTGTAGGTGACTAGCACGGGAAGAAAGCTCAAGGCACCAACCCGAAGAGTCCCAATCGCCTGGCCCGTCTCAATGGAAACCTTGACTGCATATTCCTGGTCTTCCCGAATGGCGGAATGAACCAAAAAGCCGCTGTTCTGGCCGCGACCGATGACACCTGGGGCTTGCAAAACGCGACTAAGATGCGGCGTCTAGTTTGCTTGGGAGCTTCCCCGGCCTCTGATCTTGTAACCCTTGCTTTCCAGCAACTCACGATAGCTGCGAGTATCTCCCACTTTGTCTTTCGCGGAGATGCTCAGCCCGGACTTATACATGCTGGACTGGGATCTCCTTGACAACAAGCTACTGCCGGATTTGGCACTGGCTCCACTGCTACTTTCAGAATCTGAACCAGAGCCATCATCGAACTTCTTCGCTTCGACAACGAGCTTGAAGCCCTTGGTGGTTTCCTCCTTGCCTTCGCTTGCTGTCAACACACCGGTTTCTGGCAGAGAGAATTGGTGGGCAAGAGGGGGCTCCATCCTCAGGACCCGTCATAAGAAGCGAACTAGTTTGCTTTGAGCCAAACTGTTGCGAGATCAAATCGTGGCTCCACTTGTTCCGCCGGCCTCTGTGCATGACGCAAGTTGGCTTAGCAACACTAGAGTCTAGACTGCCACCGCCTCGCGCACCACACCAGCTCGAGCTGGGCTGAGTGGTCCCCGAAGAACACGCCTGCGGCTACTTAAAGAAAATCTGTGAAAACGGAGGTGTGAATGGCCAAAAATAAGACTTTCAGTGAAAAAGAGGCCCCTGCAGCCAGTCATCCAGGTCAACCGTCCCGTGGCCATCGACGTCCATGCCTGTGCAGATTCGAGCGCCGGCTCATGGCCCGGAGCTCCAAAACCCGGCAACTTGGATCGTCACTGCGGAGCAGCTCGACAACGTCTTCTTCGCTTGCCCCGACCCCGACCTGCAAGGCATGCGCCGATTAACAGCACCATTGCAGCCTTGGGGCACGTGTCGCTGGATGACAAGAGATTCCACGCTCGAAGCGCGGTATGGATTTGATTTCCGATGCACAATGCGCCCAATCCGCCCAATTCCCTTGAGTCTTGAGAGCAAGATTGGCCCACTATGAGCACAGCATTGGCGGAGCATTGCGCAGTCGCCTGGCTGAGTCCTTGTCGCAGCTCCTGTGGCGAGGCGGCTGGCAGATACGACCCGGACTTGTGTTGTGCTCCTTGGCTCGGATGGCACGCTGCCCTTGCTCCGCCACTTGGAACCTTCAAAAGCAAGGCTTTTTTGGGCACGAGGCGGTCGGACCGAATCTTGACTCTCGGGCGTTGCCTCTGGCAAAGCAGCTGCACGGCTCCAGGCCCTCGGGACCGTAGTGCACCACGAATCCGGTCCAGCAAGGCACTGGCACCTACCAAATGCAGGGACATCTCCTAACGCTCCAACTTGGAAGACTCCAGCAAACCAGTCAACTGCGGTGCTGTTTTGGTGCATGGTATTGCCACTGCTTGAAGGGTGAAACAGTAACAGCTAAAGCTGATCTTGCACACCAAAGACTGGGAGCCAGCTCCGGCTCTCATTCCAACTGCCAGCTGGCAGACTCTGTGTCATAGGTGTAGTGTTCATCGTGAATGGGCTTCAACAGCTCGACATCATGGCCTGAGCTGCCCAAAATTCTTCCATCCCAAAACAAAAAAGATCGACGCGCCGTTCGCCAAGCTCTCGACTCACCGTCACCACGACGGCACCTGCGGGAAGGCTCTTCGGCCTCGTCTGCCGCCAAGGCAAGGGCGACGCGGCGACACTGCTTCAGACGGGCGACTGCCGAAGCAGCTGGAAGACCTCCAGAGCACCCTCAGCGCCCAGGGCCTCGGATCAAACTCTGGCCACAGTAGTATGCGGTTTCAAGCTGTGCCTGACAGATACTCTCCTGTGCTCGCCGCGCTCGTCGCCTCATCCAAGAACAGGGCCTCCGGCTTCCCTGGAAGCGGCCGAAGGGTTTGACTGTTTATCTGCGGAGCATTTCTCCTTTGCATGAGCATTTCAGTAAACTTCATCACAGACGGACAGACCACCGGTACAACCGCGGCAGCAGCACGTAGCAAGACACGAGCGATGGCCAATCGCTGCTGCTCACCGCCCGAGAGCAGCATTGCCTAAGTACTAGGGCAACCGCGTGTCTCATCCCCAATGCTACGCCAGCTTTGGATTCTGTGGCTTCTCGAATCCGAGATGCCCAGTTGGCTTCGTCATGGAGCTGACGACCTGCAAGCCGAGTCGAAGAAAGAGAGCATCAGACGAGTCTTTTCCGACGGGCCTTCCAAGGTTGTGAGCCGCACGGCCTGCTGGCAAATATGCAGACCAAAGCCCCAAAGAAGAAACGAGGAGATCTCTGCAGCTCCGCCTCCAGGACGGCCTGCACCTCTGCATCGGTGAACTCGGTGGCACCTCTCAGGTGCTGGCCAGCGAAATTGAAAACAATCGCTGGGATGCGACCCACCGCTGGACCCTAGGATCCCTGCCAGAGGGGTAGGCCACAGCCTGCTTCAGCGTGCCCTGTGGAATGTAGGACCTCTGAGTGTCACCATGTGAGCAGCATGTGCAGTCCCAACAAGGAGGCCATTGGCCAGGCCCCAAATTTGGGCTCTGGGCTTCTGTGGCAGGAAGAGGGTCTTCGCCGGCAGATACACCTCTCCACTTGCATGAGGCCTCAGCTGCTTGACCGAGACATCCACTCGCTTGCTCCCGACAAGCTGAGTGAGGCCAAGTGGCCAAATTCCTGCCATCGCGCGGAAGAAGCAACTCTTTCCAGTTCCCTCTGGTGCCGACAGCAGCACGAACCTCGCAGCTCGAAAAGCCATCTGTAAACGGGAGCCGACGCGGAGCAGAGGCCTGAGGCCCAAACTGGCCTGGCTTTACTTCCAGATTGGCATCCTTCCACAACTGGCGCCTGGGCAGTAAAGAGCTGAGGGCAGGGGCAGCCTTTGCAGAAGCCCACGCTCTGCACCCGCTGTGGAGTGCACTGATCGACTTTGGCCGGAAGCTGGACGTTGAGGCCACTTACAACGGCAGCGTCCTTGTCTCCAGCCTCAGCACGGAAGCCGGCAGGCGAACAAAAGCCCTACAAAGGTGCGCTTCCAGTACTGGGCGAGCTGCCGGCAGCCGCTTGACTTTGCACTTGGCGTTCTCTCTTCTCTCCATAGCCTTCAACAAATGACCGGCGCAAGGATACGAATGCGAATGCGGCCCGTGCCTGGGTGAAGTTCGAAAGCCGATCTACAGTGGCTCGATAGCCTCGGCCAGCTCAAAACTCACATTGCCTTGCGGACTTGCAGGATGGCCCCGCCTGTCAGCTCGGAGTAACTCCCCAGGAACCAATCAAATCCGGCCTTCACGGCCCAAAGCCTGCGTGCGCTTTGGTTGCAGCGTGTGCGTGTCGGGTGCCCTCCTGGGGGCCCGGCACGTCGAAGAGCATGAACATGGTTCCCAGCGTGATTTGACCCCGAAAATAGTTCGGAGCCAGGACCAGGTAGGGAAAGATGCTGGAGGTTTGGTAGTAAAACGACCTGCCAGTCTCAGCAGTTATCAGATGTTATCAGAGAGACAGAGACACATCAGCAAGGAAGAAACATGAGTGCCCCACACAAAGAAACCCAGGCGCTTCGTGTAGCACATCATCATCCACCACCTTGCTTTTTGCAAAACTGCATGGACCATGCTTGGACTTCGTGCATCGGAGCTCAGTTCGGGGCACTCGTTCGATCCATGCGAACTTTGCTTGTAATCGCTCCTCCTCGCAGGGTTCCGAGCCGTAGAGAGCAATGCTCTCAGCATTGTCGCCTCAGAGCCCCGAGTTTCTCGCTTCGAGGCCACACACAGAAAGCCAAGGCAGAGCAAAGCCAGGGCAACCGGACGGATTTGCACGATGTCGTAGCGAAAGCCCGCCTCTCCAAAAAACCAAACGCGGACGGGCTCTACACCTTGGCAAAAAGCAGCGGAGCCGCCCGCCCGGCCTCGTACTTCTGCAGGCCGAAGTTGATCAGGATCAGCTTCTGCCCCACCTCTCCCAAACAGGCATCACAACGCTCCCGGACTCGCTCTCTTTGGCGGCAGGCGGTTTTCTGAGGCCCTGGCAAAGTGGGCCACAACTGCTCCCACTCCAGAGTAGATAAGCGTTACGTAAAGCAGCCAGCCCGGGCAGTAGAACCTAGCTCCAGGAGCAAAGGCTTTCAAGCAGGACTCAGTCAACAGCAAGCTGCTGACGCGCGGACCATCCGAACGCGTAGCTTGGCGAAAGCAGGAGAAGCATGGGCCTCAATCATGATCATCAGGAAGTTGCACAATAAAACGGAGGAGCCATAACATTGGGTGACCGGCAACCTAGACAAGAGATGCGTGGCGGCGGTAACGAAGCCTGCAACACTGAGCTCGTGAATCACTGTAACGACACAGAAAGTGCAGTCGAGGCGGGCGGGAGCTGTGCCAGAGAATACATAGGTAGAATATGTTTAGCATTACAAGTGCCACTCCCACGCCCGTTTTTCCACGAACCCGAATTACCCGTTTTCCCTTGCAAGACTTGCTGCCCCACAGAGCCTGTGCCCAGCGACATCGTCTGCCTCAACGGAAGCAGAAGCTCGACCCAGAGCCGGAGTCTGAGCAAACCGAGAAGCAGGCTCCACGAAGAGGCGCACGTCCTCCTGGATTCGCTGATCCGGGTTGTCTGGAACCTCAAATCTCAGAGATCGGTATGCTTCCAGGGGTTCTTCTCATGTGCCACGCACCTCTAAGCTCCAGGCGTCACCTTTGCCATCGAGCTGCATCGCGTAAAAGCACTTATCCTACACGATCCGTTGACATGGTGGAGTGCTTGGAAGAAGCATCCAACTCCCAGCCACCCACCTTCAACCACTGCGTCAGCAACCATTGCGTCATGGAGCGTCGCCAGCGAATGGAAAGCATCAAGCCTTTCAGAAACGTCCAGGCCAGGTTGCACCAAATCGGAATTCATTAAGCTGGGCTCTCGGCCGATGTACTGGCCGTAGGTGGAAAGAATAATTTTGGAGAAAGCCAAGAGGCAGAGATCCAGAATCAGCCTAGTCAGCTTCGATCGTCGGACTGTGCATGCTACTATATACAAATCTCGTGGCACTTAGAGTCCAGCGGGAAGAAGCGCGAGATGTTCTTCTTTTCGATGGTGTCCCAGAACTCTTTGGACCAAACCATAATGACGAGTCCTTTGCACATCGTAAGACATGGGAAGGAGATACCTTGCCAAATCGGAATCTGGGGAGTGGGCCCAGTATCAGGTCAATCACACCCAACCTTTGATCTTGCGACTGTGGCCCAGAACACTTTGCAGCACTTGCCAGCCGAGGGGCACGGAGATAGCTGCCAAGTAGGTCCAGGCTGTCCGCCGTTCGTGGCCGAAGTAGAAAGGCCTGGAGCAAGTTTGCAAGGAACAAGGCATGTGTAAGCTCTGTCATGGCTATGCCAGGCCCGGGCGGCGCCTCACAAGAGGCAAGATCCCGTTGAATAAGTGCAGCATCTGGTGCTCGTGATGCTCGGCTCCGCAATCGGGCCTTCCAGGCTCCAGGTGAGATCTCTTCTCTCACAGGCTGGGACTGGGAACGGAACGTTGCGGTCAGGTCCACATCCGCCTCGGCGATCAAGCGGCGACGAAGCTTGGCCACAAACCACATGCGACATGTGCAGGCGGCCTAAGGTCTGCCACGGCATCCAAGGGTTGGACCAGACAGAAACTGCACGAAACTGAACTCATCCGGGATTGTTGACTTCGCAGGCACAGTGTCAGGGGTGTGCACCCCCTGTTGACCTCCCTCATGTTGTCCGTGGGCCGCTCCTGCCTTCTGTAGAGTAGACTAGGCGTGCTGTGGTTGCATTGAAGATGTGTAATAACGGTGCACAACTCATGATGGCACAGATGCTGTGCAGACCGAGAAGTGTCACTTTGAGAAGCCCATTTCCGGAGCGCCCGAGTCTCGAACTAAGTGGTTCATGTTTCACCGTAACTGCCGGAAGGACTTCGACCTATATTGCCGACATTATCCGACCACATCCAACTGAGTAGTCGGCCAGCCGGCGATGGCACAGTTCAAAGCTCACGGCGAAGACGGCGACGATGGCTGCCACAACCCACATGTACGGCTCCCAGAACTCGGACACTGACCTTCCAGGCTTCGGCCAAGATGCGGCAACTTGAGCGCTAGACACGAGACCTGAGAGTAAGGGCGAGGCATCTTGGAGACGTCGAAGCCGAAGCTTCCGCCTGCTGACATCCGCGCTGTCAGCTTTCGGGTGCTGCGGAGGCGGAGGCACGCCTTCCTTGCTCGTGGCGTTCTGCGTTCCGTTTGTGGGCTGTTGGCCCTTGTTCCCGGGCTCGGTCCGACCCTCAGCGACAATCTGGCGGCGCTTCGCCTCCTTCACACAGGGCAGGAGATGCTGAGCGCCACGGAGAAACATTCCGCTGCCTCACCCCCACTGGAGATGCTGGCCTCTGACTCCGACTGTCGCATGCAAGCTCAAACTCGGAATGACAGATGGGGCTGCTGCGTTTGCTGGCGACTCGGTTCTGTTTGACTGCGGCTGGGACAGCAAGGAGATGTTCGTTGCCTGTGATCTGAAACTGACAAGTAAATACAACGAAGCAGCGCTGCACACCCCGGCCTTGCCAGCGGAGCTGGCGCCTGCAAATCTCAATCTGCATTTCAAGGCAGCAACTTTGCATGACGATCTGTCCTGGACTTCCATGCGCTTGCAGCTTGAATGCATTGGCTCCGAGGACGAGGACGAAGCCAAGCAGGATGTTTCGGCCTCTCTCGGCGCCGGGGCCGTGGACATGTGGAGACTGAGCCCGAGGACCTCTGACAGCCACCATCCCGGAGTTCCCTATCGGGTCTGCATTGTCGGATGCCTTTGCTCTCCGCAAAGGGCTTGAGCCAGCGGCGCATAGCGAAGTGGACACTGGATGGCAAAGATGAAAATGGCACGACTGAACTCTCGAAGCCGGCACCTTCTGAGCACCTGATGGACTCTGTGATGGCTGCCATGCGGTCTATGCCTGGAGCTGATAGATCCCCTCTTGCAAACGGGTTCACAGACTTGAGGTGTCCACTTCTTCGTGATGATGGCTGGTGTCTTGGCAAGGGGTCCTGAGTCGGGACAGTTACGCAGACCTGGCATGTCAACAGAGCTGCATTTTGCAACACTGCAAGGGTCCTCCGGCACCTGCAATTGCCTGGCGGGCAAGGGCCTGGCTTCACTGCAGCAAACTAGTTTGCAGGCGAACACGTGCTTGCGGCGCTTTCTGTGTCACTGCGCGCCTGGATGGCTTTGCAGGCTCTACCTCCTGCTCGGGTGCCTTAAGAGCTCAGGTGACTAACTGCGACTTATCTGTGCACTATCGGTCGACGAGGGGAAACCCTCTGCTAAGCACCTCACCTGAGGAAGGCGCCAGATCCTCCTGAGCAGGCGCCCAAAACCGGCTTCGTCCTCAGTGCCAGCCGAGCAGTCGCCCATGTCGATCGCAAAATCTCCCGCCGCGAGTCGCTGAAAGCTCCCGGCTCCACGATAGAGGGCCGAAAGCACCACGTGAGCCGACGAGAAGCTCTCTTGATCCACATCCTGGTCCCCGGCTTGGGCTGACGGTTTCCGAAAAAAAGCACAGACGCTTGTCCTTCTTGGAGCCCCAGCGACGCAGGAATTCGCGAAATGCCTTTTCCAAGCACCACTGGAGCAAAGGCATGCCATGCAGCTTCGAGAGGCCTCATCAGCGGAAACGTGTCCAGCCTTGCACGTCGATGACAACACATGTGTCAAAAGTTTTGGAACACTGCAGTCGCCTTTACTGCAGGCAGCTCCCTGGCGGCAAGGCGCCTTCGGCAAGACGAGGACCGGTACACTTACACACGGCGGTGATGCATCGCTGCGGTGCATACCTGCCTGCGCAGCGCCTGGACCGCGAGGGTTCCACGGATGTCTCCTGCGGTGATCGCTTCTCACGTGACTTAGTTGCCTCGGCCATCATCGCAGACCTCCGAGGTCGAAGAAGATGTTCGAGACCTCCTGCGCCCGCGGCCCCCGCAGCGGCCCATGGATTGCAGCGACCACGGCATCTGCTGAGGGAGGTCCACGGGCTTCTGCCCCTTTCGCCGCCCTTCGAACGGCCGAGGCGACCTCACGCGAACGGCTGCCAACGCTTAGGTGAAGCTCCGACATGACACACATGGCAAGTCGAAGGCAGAGTGGCTCAGTGCTGGACCTGTGCAGTGCTGAAGCTCGGCACGCCAAGCACTCGCAGTGCCGATTGGAGGCAGTTGGCATCCACAGTCTCCCGGTGCTGGAGGCCCAAGGCGGAAAACAGGTGGGAAGCCCAAGCATCGCCGCAATGGCGACGCAGCGCCAGAAGCAGATCTGAGCCTGGGCGTTCCTTTATGGCCGTGGGTGTTTGCTTCGACTTCGAGGCATCTTTGTCCCCTGGGAACCGCTCGATCCAGGCACCTTGGCTTAGGCCAAGGCGCTTCTGCAGCTCGGACTCTAAGCCGACGGGCAGGGCCAGGCGCGCCCAGCCCTCCGATCCCAAGGTCAGGAGCTGCTTCGGGGTCTCCAACCACTCCCGGTGCAGGCGTGCCACGAGCTTGTCGGCCTCACTCACCGGTCGCCGCAAGGACACACAAGCTTCCCGGACCAAGCTTCGAAGCGTCCGATCCGAAGGTGGCGAGGCGCCGCCTTGCACTTCGTGCACGCGCTCAGAAGGACGGCCTGCTGGGACATGTCCTGGGGCTTTCTTCTGTCGGAGATCGAGCTCGTCCACAGCAAGCGCCCCGAGGGGCGCCGCCTCCACGGAGGAGTCCTCGGAGGATGGCTGCCTTGGTTTGGCCTTGAGCCTGTCCCACGGTTTGAAGCGGTCCAGGCCGATGGCATCCTCATGCAAGTCCCAGTCCATGGCTCGGCAGCTGGGCCCCTTCCGAGACGGGCGCGGGAACAACCTCCGAACAACAACAACAACACGTTGTCGAACTAGAAACAGTGTTCGAGCTTGCTCGGCTTACTTTGAATGCACCCATGCTCCCTGCTTGTGACCTCCTCAGGCCCTGACATCTTTCAATACTACAGCATCTGTCTATGCTGCCTGGAACCAGTCTTGAAGCCGGAATTAATCGGAATTGCAAAGCTCGGAAATGCTCCGACCGTCGGCATGCAAACTCGCGACGAATGTCAACTCTGTGCCGGAGCAAGGCGTTGGCAAAGTTTCCGTAGGCGAGTCTTGACTCAAAAAGCCTCCTCTTTGAGGCAGCGATTTGCCGTCAAGGAAAATCGCTTGGATTCGTAGGCTTCTGCCCCGAAAGATGCATGAACGAGGTGACACATTTGGTAAGTGCTACAAGCGCTTGGCCAGAACACCAACTTTGCTAACTGTGCGCAACCTTTCAGATCTTTCAGCCGTGGCACAGCACAACCTTTCGGTGTGCAGTGGTGCCCCCTTCGTGCCATCTGACAGGCTGCGGGAGAAAGCGCTGAATTGGTATCCGACGGCTCTCAGAGGCGTTCGGATGGTGAGACAGGCAGCGCTGCCAAAAACGATTCACTGCGTGCAGTAAACAAAAGCTCCTGGTGTCATCCTTGCACCTGCAGGCGCAAGCAAAATCCAAGGTTGCCACCCGGGATCCATGAATCCCCCGCCTCGGCATGGACGCCCCTGGCCTCGGCGCCCTCCTTCTCTTCCTCCGGCCGCGCTTCTGCGTCTCTGACGGCGGACTCCCCCGAGCTCTTTGAATTCTTGGAGTGCTTGGAGCCCTGCAGACGCACCTCTGCCGGGGGCACCACCGGGAGGGCCGGGGCCGGGGCCGGGCCGGTGGAAGAGGAGGCCAAGCTCTTCGCATGGGCCTCCAAAGCCTGGGCTGCCCTCGCATCGGGCAAGAAATCCTGCGCATGGGCTCGCAGCGCCCCTGCTGTCAAGGCATCGGGTGAGAAGTTCTGCGCGTGCGCTCCGAGCGCCTTGGCTGCAAGTGCGGTGCGGGGGCTAACTGATCGACTCCGACCAGACGAGGAATCTCCAGAACTGGAAGACGGCGAATGCAGGCTGCTGTGGCTGCTGGAGCCGCCCTCCTGCAAAAAGCTTTGCTATGCGAAGACAGGTCTCAATCCTGGTAGAACATTGACAGCTCAAGAATGGCAGGCTGCACAAGCATGGCGGGCTGTGGGCCTAAGTCAGTGACCCTAGATGACAAAGCGGACAGCGCAAGCCGAAAGACAAGCGATTCTGACCACTAGCCTCTCGAGTGCATCCCGAGTGGCCGCGGCAGGCAAGACGAGACAAGTATGATTGACTCGTGCGGTCAGTAAACAACTTGCTCTGACGTGACTCTTACTCCCGTAAGTCCAGCAGCTCCCACCCAATTACACATGTCACATCATGCCCCCAGTGTCCTCTGCATCTGAGCCCTCCGGGGTGGATGCTTCAGACCAGGACTTGTTGTCCTCATCCTCGTTCTTGGGATCATCCTCTCGGGGTGTGTCCGATATCTCCCACGAGCCACTCTTCCGGGATGCCATCTTTTTCGGCGACTTTTTGGCCATGGCCAAGTAAGGGTTTTCTGAGGCTTTGACGGCCGCGGCTTCGCGCAATGCACTACCATCCTTTGTCAAGATGGTGGGTGCAGCCTCCTGTGTTGCCTGCGAGGTGCCCTCTTCGACCGGCACCTTCCCCTCCTCCTGCAAGGCCTCGGGTACAATCTTCCCCGCGTTCTGGATGCGCCGGCGCTGGTACTTGAAAGTCCACCGGACGGCCAACACCATGGCACCAAGCACCAGTAAGAAGAGAACGGCATAGAACCAAATCGGAGGAGTCCAAGGCTCAGGAGCCGCTCCCGGTGCTAAGGAAGTGGAGCGCTTTGGCGCCAAGACAAGGTCCTCCTCCTCTTCGACAATTATAACACCCTGGCGGCTGGTGGTTGGAATGAGGGGGATGGTGGTAGCGGTCTGTGTGTGGAGGGTGGTGCGGGTCGTAGGAGGGAAAGTTGATGTCTCTGGTGCTGAGCCGAAGATTGGTCGCAGACCGCTGCACAGCCCATCTTCCGGCAGTTTGTACAAGACGTCCCGAGTGTCCGACAACAGCGGCCATGGTGGAGTGCCGTCGGGAACATCAATCTCGAACAAGAGGCGAAGCACCGTGCCCTCATCGATCTGAAGCAACCTTGCTGTCGTCCCATCTCGGGCAGTCAGAACCCAAAAGCCGTCCAACGGCAGCAAAGCAGCCGGAACTATCTCGGGTGCTTTCTCAGCTTGAATTTGTGCCAGTGGCATGCAAGTGCCACGGTCATGCCGCGTCACGAAAGGAAGGGTTCCTTCCTGGGGAGGCTCTACGGAGGTGTCCGCTGCATCAAAGGCACCTGACAACCTCTTCAACCGGAGCTCCACGTGGGGCTGCGGAAAAGCTCCAGAAGGAGCTTCGCCGGTTTCTGCCCCAGCTTGTAACGGATCTGGAAGCTGTGATGCTGGCAGTGAAATCAAGAAGGCCTTGGCGTCCGAATGCATCATCATGTGATCCCGCCCTGCCGGCGCCATAAGTCGCAGCATCGCACTTCCTGTTTGAACCAATCCAGCATAAGCGACCGGATGCAGATCGGAGCTAATGTCAATTCTGAGGTATGCCTGTGCGCGCGTGGCGGCATGCAACTCCTGGTCACCGATGGCAGCCTCAAGCTTTGCGGCGGCTGCAGCCGAGGCATCGAAAAGAGCCATAGCCGGACTACCAGCAGAATGCAGGCTCCAAGGGGACCAAGGCTGGCGCCAACTCCATGTCGCTGGGCCGGTGCTGTAGCCGTCGTCACGCTGTCCCGAAACCCAAGCAGTCAGAAGCTCCAAGCGACTCAGGCGACGCCGCGCCAACAAGGCCGCCGAGCGACGGCTCAGGTCCAGTGCTGAGCGCAGCTTGCGGAGCTCGTGCCAGTGCCAGGCTGCTTCGGGTCGGTCACTACCTGCCGAACTACTCATGTTGGACCACTTGGACCACTGCAAGATCACATCGATGTGCGCTGCAATGTGTGTTGACTGGGCAGATGCCGCTGCAGAAATGCTTGGCTCCTTCTGTATGTCCCGCACGTCTATCACTTGCAGCAGCAGCTCCTCGAAAATCCGTATTCTGCCCCAGGCCATCTGTAGGATCTCAGTGGAGGCTCTCTTCAGCCGCAAGTCCTCGACGCGAGGATCAATCCACGGACGCACTGCTTGCGGACCAAAACCGTCCCAAGCATCCTCGAGCGCCAACTCTTCCGAGACCTGTCGTGCCACAAAGGACAGGCACCAACCACGGTTGCCACAGCTTGCTGGCTGAGATATATTTGGCAAAGGCCCCGCGAAGAGCATGGAACCCTCCCGGGCATAGGGTTCCAACACCTCCTCCGTGAAGGCTGCGACTTGGTCAACAGCTCCATGCATGATCGGCAAGAGGCGACTCAGCGCCGAGGTTCCGAAGTCTGTTTGGTTCTCCAGCTCCAGTCGAAGCTCCTCTGCGAAGGAGAACCAGCTCTCGGCCACCTCCAGGAAGGGCTCCCAGACTCGCTGGCGTGTGTCGGCGATCGGCACGGCCCCTGGCATTGATAAGCCGCCTCCCAGAGGGGGCATCATGCTAGGCGGCCAGGCTGCCGAATCCACCTGCACGAGCAACCGCCACTCAAGGCCATGATACCAGGACTGGCCCCATGTCCCCAACATCATCAAAGCCATTGAGCCGATCCTCTGTAACACATCGATGCTCTTCTGCTCCTTCTCCACAAGGTCTGTAGCATTGACCAAGTCTTGGAGCTCCTTTCGGAGCTTCCAAGTTACTGCCTGCGCCATCCGGACGACGCTGAAGCCGGCAGCCTCGGCGCTTTCACCCAGGAGCTTGTCGATCTCCTGCAACTCCCGCAGCTTAGGAGCCAAGAGCTGCACACAGCTCGACACCTCGGACTGCCACTGAGCCCTCAAAGCCTCGGCCCCCGCTGCTGCCTGAAGGGCTTCACGCTTCAGCTGTTCCAGCAAGGCCTCGGCACTCTCCTCCGTGAAGTCCAGCAACACTGGGCCCGCGGTCGTGCTCGTGGTACTCGTGGTGCCACTCTCCGCGGTCGCGTTGCTGCTGTTGCTCGCATTGCTTCCGCTGGCAGCACTTGCATTGCTGCTTGCGTTGCCATGGCTTTCATTCGCCTCACCCGAGGGCTCTTCAGTGGCGTTTGGGGAACTGGGCCCAGTCCCGTTGGAAGTGCTGTTCGAGAGCAGGCGCTCCGGTGCAGCAAACAAGGGCTGAACAAGGGACCGCCACACGGTCAGATTGGGCGGAATCAGCTGCACCATCACCTGATAGGCCAAAGAAAAAAGCTCCGCCGTCTTAGGCCCTTAGAGCACGAAGATGCCCCCAAGGAAGAAAAAGAAGAAATAGAAGAAGAAAAAGCCGGGTGTCACCTCGTGGATCTGCTCCATGTCCAGAAGCCGCTCGCCAGCCTGAACGTCGCTCTTGCTTTCTTTCTCCCCCCCTCCTTCCGCTCCTGTTCTTTGCAGACACACAAAGCGACTCCCTCGAAAAACAAGCGACCGGCAGGGAGCCCGTAACACTTCTGCCGGCTGCCCAAAAAGTCATGCCACTTATGACTCTTGCAACTGCGGATGGCAGAGGGCCGGAATGGACTGACAGTCCACTCCCTCTCACGCACAGTTGAGACTCTTGGCTAGCCGGCTTCCTTCGCTCCCCTCTCGGCACTTTTTCCACGCGTCGGCTCGAACTCCCGGGGTCCCCGGCTTCCTTGACGGGGAAGGCGGCGCCCAGCGCGGCGATGTCGGCACTGCCGGAGGAGTGCAGCAACGCAAAAGGCCTCAGCAGTCCGACGGGGCGGTCTCAGACCCCGAGTCCCAGAGAGTCGGCTTTAGCTCCAGGCAGCAAGCTGCGCTGACCAGCAGGCAAGCCCAGTTGCAGTGCCTGGCACTCTGGAGATTTCTGAAGCAATCTGACTCCGACTCCACCCACCGCGGATGTCTCTCGGCATCGCAGCACGGATGCCCCAAACATCCCCAAACGCAAAGCAAAGCTTTTCACCGCTTCTGTTCTCCTTCGCACTTCCCCGGCCTTGCTCCGTTCGCATGCTTCCCAGGTCCCTGAGAGACGGACTCAGGTCGGGTAACGTCAGTAACGTGGAGGCATGTTGTGGTTGTGGCGTCTGAGAGCACCGCCCTCGATGTCACCAGTGTGCGATGCACAGGTGTCACTCAGCAAAGTATGTGCAGCCTCGTGGAGCAGGGCACCAACCTGCAATGAATGCCATCGAAAGCCATCGCCTGCCAGCTGCCGGAGGAGATGTCCTCCGCAGCCACATCCACCGCAGCCTCCCATGAGAAGGCTGCAGGGCAGGCCCTACAGAGGCTCCCAAAAAACTTACAAACCCCCTTTCGGCTCTTCTTCCTGCCTGCACGTCCAGGAGGTGGCCGGCCAGGCTGAGGTCCTCCGAGTCGGCGAAGAGCGGAGCCACGGACGTCCCCGCGCAGCAGCTCCTTCGCACGCTTCGGCTTCGGCTTCGGTCCGTGCCAGGCTTCTGCGCGTGCGCTCCCGCCGGCATCGAAGAAGAACACCCTCAGGAAGTAGCCGGAAGCCTGGCAATTGACAAAGGCCGAGATGCTCTCAAGAAGAGCTTTGAACAAAGGCCTCGGGCAGGCCGCTAGGCAGCTGGAGCCCTCTCTTCATGAGCACAGCGTTGGGAGCATCCAGAGAAGACTCCTGCCTCGACACGCGGGCTCGGCTCTGTCTACACACGTTTGCAGGGCGGCGACGCAGGCCCGGACTCCAGCTCCGCGGAGAACCAGTCCCCGAGCTCGGCCACCTCAGCCGTCTCGTCTTACTCTGCAACAGCAGCATGAGAGAGTGGACCTCTGCGCCGGCGAAGTTGTCGATCTCGCGTCGGTACAGCGCTACCCGCCAGAATCCGGAGAGACAGAGGCTCGCCTCGGCCTCAAACAACACTTGCAGGCTTTAAGAGGTGCCGCGTCGGATGTGTCGGTTGAGGCCTGCACGGTACAATTTCCGTATTCTGCATCTAGTTGCCACAGAGACAAGCCATGCATTGTCCACCGGGCCGACACGGATGCACCCTCGCAGTTTCGGTCGTCCCAACACGTCTCAGGAAACTGCTCTGACAGGTCAATGCCTCGCAGAGTGCTTCCGGGTCAGCTGCGGTTGGACATCTGGTGACGCCCTTCAGGTTGTGTCCAACCAACTGGGGTGTTTGGCAGCCCCAGGCCTTCTACGCCTGACGTGCGCTCAAGAGCACAGGATTGGCCTCCAAGTTCAGCTGGGCTGCCATACGCACCTGACAAACATGCCATCCTCACTTGAGCTCCAGTGTCTGCGAATAAAGTCTAAGTCGAGACGAAATTCAACCGCTCCGCAACACATGGGTTCTGAGACACAGACGCACTTGCCGGTGGCAGCAGCCCCGCATCCCACACGAACCTGCTGCGCGACACTCCACTTGCCGTTGAACTGGTGTTGGAGGGCATCTCAGGCGAAAACCCACGGACCGGACACTTGGAAGCCGTCCGCGCTCATCTCTGCTTCATCTTCCGAGCACGTTTCGCAGTCCAAACATGCGCCCTCGGTATTGGCCACCTGCACAAGGCATGTTGCGTACTGCATACAAGCTTGTGTAAAGCCGGTGGTGTGGAAAGTGCCTCGTAGCGGCCCGACCTGCAATCTGTGCACACCTCGGCTCGCCCAGCGACCAGATACAAGCCAACGGTAGAAGGGCTTGGGCGCGGGCACCAATCTGCTGCCCACCACAGCCCCGGCGCTCGCCCTGACATCCACACTCTAGGAACAGCCTATCTGCCAAGTCTTGCCCCGCCTGGATACACGTGAAGCAGGTGCGACAGAAGGGCGCCGCAAAGAAGCTGCCTCGGGCTTGCAACAGTTGGTTGTGATGTTTGTCTGCTCCGGCTGCATGAAGGCAGCACAAGGGCGGAGCCCTCTATGATCTTCCTGAAGCCCACTGCTTGGACTGACATGGACTGACAACCCTACCACCGCAGGCCACATGTCTGCTAAGGTTACCGAGCACCCCATGAAACATAATAGTCTTTCGGAACATCTTGGCATCAATCATACGCTGCTTTGGCCCTAGCCCTCACTCAGTGACTCAGAAAACCGAGAACCCCAAGAAGCGCATAACACAACGATAAGGTTGGGTTTACGTGAGCCAAAGATCCGGAACATCCCACTCAAGAAGCTTTGCTTTGTGTGGCTTTTTGTTCCTGAGAAATAGGCTTTCTCGGCCGTGCTGGCATTGCCGACTTGAACCAGGTGCAGTCTTTTGGAACCGTGTCGGACCAGGACTCAGAACCGCAAACGACCAACACGACACTCACTAACCACTGCACAACGCACAGTGCTGCACGACGTCTAATGTTCCACCTTGCTTCCAAATGTTGATAGGACATCTGCCTGGTTCTGGATTCTGTGGCGTCTCTGGGGCAAAACCGAACTGCATGCTGATGCCAAAGAGGCCAACCTTCTGTGCAGGAAAGCTGCCCCCGACGCAGGGTGAGCAATAACCCGGATCAGCCCCGCCTCGATTCACGATGGTTCAGGGGACAACATGAGACTTGATGCGAACTTCTCAGCCAGACGCCACAGCCGACGCGCACGTGCCCTCTTGGACAGCTCTCACATGCCTGCCATCGAAATTCGGGCCAAAGAGACCAATAGAAGGGAAAGCAAGCACACCATGCAGTTCATGCCAAGGTCTCTGCCTGGCACGTGTCTGTCCAAGCACCTTCTAGCCTGACAGACAAGCACACAGCTCGGCGGTCTAGTGCAGTGACCACAATCACAAGCTGTCAAGATTGCCGGTGTGCAAACAGTGGTACTGTCCCATGCCTCATGCCCAGCCGGCTACCAGCATCGCCACACCCGGTGGTTCCGGCCCCGTCCAACGACGACAAACGTGCCGGAGACACCCTATGGTCTTGAACTCGCTGCCAGCTTCACATTCCACACACAGCCCGGCTGTTGCTGGACCACAGCCGCGGCGAATCCTGACAACTGGGGTGGTTGTTGTCCTGGCAGCACCCACTCTCTTGACGAGTTCCCGGCTTGCCCGCTTCACAGGGCTGGCATTCCTCACAACTGCTTCCAGGGCTTCCAGTCGGATTGAACCTCGAAACGTCGCGTCCAGATCCAGACTTCACGAGTGCTTTTTTGGCCGGCCGGCCTGCCAGCCGCACAGGTCTGGCAGACCCCAGCAAAGTAGGCATGACAGCCGACGATAACCTGCCAAACATTCGAGTAATCTGTCGCAGGCACCCGACTCGCGCACCAGCCTCACCAGGATAGCACGTTGCACAGCAGGAAGCATAGAAGAGCTTGCCGTCGATGATCCCATGAGTTGCCTTGCAGCGGCCACATCTTCTTGGCAGAAAACAAGCCTGCGAAAGGAACTCCTTTGGCCCAGCGCGCCTCAAAGCCTCGCAGGTATCCGTTTATGTTCCTTTGCTGGCGACAGCAGTGAAGCCTCAGAGAAGCGGGGCCATTAGAGCCATGAGAGCTTGAGGACCCAGGCTCGCACTCACGCCAGGCCGGAAAGACATCGTCGCTGTAGCAGGGGTTATTCCTTGATTTGACGTTGCAGGCTTGCAAATGTCGGGAATGGAGATTGCTCCGAGCCCCTGACTCCACAGCGTAATAGCCTGGATCACACTGCGCCTGGTACAGGCATTCGGTGGTGTAGCCTGGAAGCTTGAGAACATGCGTGCACACGTGCCCACATGCGTCCACCAAACTGCCCGCCCTGAGCTTTGGACAGCTGTCGTCTGAGATTTGATCAATGTCATGCACTGTAAAATAAGCAGTCTCACCTGGTGTGTGCTCGGAACATGCCCATCCGTGAAGAGATGACCGAAGAAATACGTGTCAGCAGCGCCAGTTGACAGCGCCATGGACCACAGGCCATAGGCATCCGTCGCCAGCTGACCGGACAATTCTTGGGGTGGCGCATAGCCCGGGTGGCCGGCCACGCAGGCACCAATCCTAGGTAACAGCGATCACTTCGCAGCGACCCATTGTTGTACTAACGTGAGGCGAGGGCCCCTCCAACCGGGGCTGCGTATACCTGGCTCAGAGAGCGCCAGATGGCGAAGCTGTGCTATAGCCTGGGCTTCGCACCACATGCAATAACCAGCGTCATTGCTTTCAGCAATACAGCTGGTGCAAGACCTTCGTGCTCACACTTGAACCAGATCTGTGGAGACGAAGACATTCCAAAGCCAGAGCAGCGAACTATGCAAGTGAGATCAATGAGGTCAGCACACATGCTTGAAACATGCGCCGCTGGCTTGATGCAGCAGAGCAAGTGGCAAGAGATTGCGAAGCATGCCTCCAGGAAGTTCGCACGAATGCGCTTGCTCGCCGGACGCAACACGGAGTCGAGTGCCGCCTCTTCGAGCTACTCGGTATGACAACCTGATCTACGAGCTTCACATTGGAAGCTGACGGGCCTAACACCAGAAGGGGTTCATACTTGTCAAACAGCTGGAGCAAATTTACAGCGGACCAATGCATGGAATTTGCTTTGATTCAGCATGGTTTGCTGCAAAATGAATGACACGCCGCACGCTTTTTTTTCAGCATTCGGGCGTTCGGCATTAGCACAACCAAGCCTTCTGGCTTTGCGGAGCTTGCATAGCAAGCACAGCACAACTTCCAGTGCCTATCTCCATCTTGGAAACAAGCATGTTCTTGGGATCTGAGCAAGTGTGTTTGCTCTATGAGCCACTGCCACTCAACAACTGGGTCGGTCTTCGAGGCAGGTCGCTACAGGCAGCTCTAATCAGAACAGACAATCTGTCCTGCAGCTTCCGAGACGTCTTTGCATCAATCCTGCAGAGCATGCCGACTCTTCAAGCGTTTGTGTTGACAATTGTGGACTACGTCAGAGAAAAACTGCAGCAGTTCCTTTTCACAACCTGCATGAGCACACTGCGGACACAGGCAGCTCGTTAACACCAGCAGCAGCCCAGCAGCTACAGAGCTGGCTTGCAAGGTAGCATGGCCACGTGGAGGGAGGCCAGGCTAGCTTCGTCCATTAACACAGGGAGCGAGAAATTCGCCGCACTGGGGACTGAGACTGTGCTTGCTGGGCCCTTTGCCGATGTCGCACGAAGGAAGCGCGTGAGGGCAACAGAGTCGTACACAGGCGAGGACTGCTTGGCACAGTCCGTGATGCGCTCCCGTAGAGCCTTCATCTCTTTTCCCAAATCCTGCAAGCGTGCCTTCTGCGATTCCGGTGCGGCTTCTGGCTCCGGCTCATCCAGAGTCGCAATCTTGGGCCGAGAATGCTCCTGCAACAAGCCTTCTCTAAAAGTTTGTAACTCCAGCCAGAGATTGCCAACGTCTTCTTCCGAGTGTCCGGTAGTGCCACCATTCTCCAGCAGCCCGATGTCCCGCCGCCGATGCTGCCTGGCTTGCAGCTCCCTGATCTCAGCAGATTGGCGAGCAACGGCTCGTCGCAATGCCAAGACATCCTCGGGCAAAACGTCGTTGCAGTAGCGTCGCATAATCCGTCTTTCCAGCTCGTTCAGGCGATGATGAAGCTCTCGACATCTTGCCTTTGCCTCGGTCATGGCATCCTCCATCTGATTGCACTCTTCTGTTTGCTTGCGCAGTTCCTCCTCGAGGAGTTCGCAAGCCTGTGTTCCAGCCTTGGCTTGCTTTTGCATCTGCGCAACACTCGCGAGCATGAGAGCTCGCCTTTCAGACTGGATGCGCGCTGCGCCAAAATGCTTCTCTGCATCCTGCATTTCCTGCTTTGCTTTAGCCAGGCGGTCTCCGACAGTCTCAAGCGACACCTGCACCTTCGAGAGCCCCTTCGTCGCCTGCTCGAGAGCAGGCTGTGCGGCCTCGCGCAGCTCGGAGCGATGGGTTGTCACAAACTAAACGTAGGGACCCCCCCTTCACGAAAACATCATGACTGAAATCCAGCTTTGACACTTTGTGACCCAGAAAAACTCTAGCAGCGGCAAATCACCTGGTCGAGCCACTGCTAGCTTGGGCAGTGGACAAATCGGAAGCGGAAAATAACTCGAAAATCACACATCAGAACAACAAATATTAACAAATATTCGGAAAAAACTCTGGAAGGAGCAATTCTAAACCCTGAATCCTTAACACCCTCAAGTGAGTCGGTTTTCCGGATCGTCTGCCTGGCGTTGACAATCGACCCAACCGTCCATTGAAATCTATCTCCTTGAATCTCGGGGTTGTTGAGCCCAAAACACTCCTTCACACACGAGCCCCCCCCCAGCCCCCCCTCGCCCACCACGCACAACACCCCCAGCTCCCCCCACCTTGTGACAAACCCCAACCCTAAACCCTAAAACCCAACACCCAAACCGTACAGTAGTTCTCCATGTGGCGTGACATGAATCTCAATCCCGGGCTCCGAATCTTCTGCGCCTGCTCGGCCACTTCCAGGCTGCTGCGCTTCCTCGACCGGGCCTTTTCCCATGGCCGTTCCTTCTTTTGAGCGCCTGAGGCAACAGGCGCAGCTTCAGCGAAAATCTCGGAGAGCAACTCCAGCTGCGTCTCGGCGTGGCTGAAAGTTCTCTGCAGTGTGTCCATGTCCGACATAGGCTCGTGCTGTGAAAGAGGATGCAGCGCAAGCGCTTGCCTTAGGAGACCGTCCAGTAGCAACTGCGTCAGACTGGCGTGAGCAGTTGCTTGATGGCGATGCTCACCGTCACCGTCTTCCTCCAGCTCCTCCAGCTCCTCGTCTTCTTCTTCCTCCTCCGTGTCCTCGCTGTCGCGGCGCTTCGGATGTCGCTCTTCAGCGGGGCCAAGCTCGAGAAGTTCTGCGCCGTCCGGACTCGCGGCTTGCAATCGGTTGAACAGGCGGTTGGACTGGTCGTAGAGCTCCTGCCACCGCTTCCGCTGCGATCCGCCGGCGTCTGCAGAGGCATAGAGCGCTGAAGCACAAGCCATTCGCAAGGCTTCCACGGCACAGCCCGCTCGTTGCCAGGATGCAAACTGTAGATCCTTGAAAAGTGCCTTTTGTAGTGACAGCAGCTGCGCCCCATGGGCCCTCAAGGCCGCGAGCACCTCCTGGGTTTCGGCGGCTTCGTCCTGGCGGAAGATCCGCTGCAAGGCGGCCAAGGCCGCATCCAGGGAGGTCTCCCCAGCACAGCTGACGAAGGCAGCGTTGCGCACCAGCAGGCAGTACCTCAGCCCCGCTTCCGGCCCTTCACCGTCCTTCACCTATCTTCTCTTATTCTCACCTCACCTCTCCACGTCCGTGGTGTACAAGCAGCCGAGGACCCCCAAGGCCTCGAAAGGCTGGGCGTGCTCTGAACGTTCCGATGGTACATTGTCTCGGCAACTCTCGGCACCAGGCAGCATAAGCCAGTTGTGTAGAAGCCAGGCTGATGGAACAAAGCCAGTTCATCGATGCAGCATCCTAGCGGCGTAGACAAACTGCTGCGAGCGCAAGCTGCAGAACCCTTCTTGCCTGGAGCACTGCCAGCGCTGCGTCCGCAATAAAGTGCTCATGGATGCTGCGACTCAATATGCATGCCTCAAAGTAAAGCAGCTGAGACCCAGTTTGGACAAGCAGCTTCTGCTTTGCTAGGCCTTGCGGAAGCAGCGATGGAGCGCACAAAGGGAATGGAAGCTGACCCCGAGCTCTGCATCGTCTCGAACCTGAGCATTTCAACACCGGGAGGTTCGGTCTTTGACTCTCCATATATATATATATATATATCTATCTATCTATCTATCTATCTGGGTTGTAGTTTTGGGGCCCTGAAAAGTATTTATGAATAGATACCTCTATAGAAACCATAAGGGAAATTTTAAAGTTTCCCAAGTTGCCGCCTAGATATATATATATATATGGGCGTATCATCGTGGGTCTTTTTTCAATATTTGCCTTCCGGGCTTAAACGGTCGGACGATCTGATGATAATCTGCGCACTTCTTTCGATGGTCTTCTGCGCGTCCGTGATGCTTTTTTAATAATTTGTTTCACTGGCTCCGTCGGTTCAGGGCTGGTCAGCCGCAGTTGAGCACCCAGCTTGGTCAGGCAAGCATGACATCCAGGCTTCTGCATCAGCGACAGCTTCGCGGCAGTTCACCTGCACCTGGAAGAGAGCACAGCTGCAAAAGGCAAAAGCCAAAGGGGCTCCGCCAGAGCAGATCGGATCCGCCTCCAGCGTCTCGGCCTCGATCGCCGCGGGCGAGGCCGAGGCCGAGGCCGAGGCCTTGAAAGGGGGGGACCGTAAAGCCTGTCTCTCAGTTCCAATATATAGTCAAAAGGGAGGCGCAAGAAAACAGAAGGCGTGCGGATCTCTCTCGTCGGGAAAACGGCTCCGGCCTTGCCACTGGAGCGCAGCATCTGGAGCCGGGTCTCCAGCCTAGCCACCTGCACAAGCTCAAGATTGCACTAGCGACCTCGCTCGCCACTAGCAGCATGGAGCAACCTCCGCACTTCGAGCGAGCCGCTGGCTTTGCATCTGCCTTCGAATCTTGCCTTAGACTCAGCTTCCGCGTACTATTTTAGAGCTTGGATGTGAGATCTCTCCAAGATGCAGAGCTGCAAAGCTAGCTGTTCCAACTGCTCCTCGCGGCCCTTGGTATGCGAACCCCTCTTGATCCCAAGTGAGTCAACGGAACCTCTCTGCCAGAAAGGAGCCCTGCCTGCAAGCTCTGCAGCTCTTCGCAAAGTTGGACTTCGAGATCTTGCTGCGTCTGTCGAAGCCGAGCGCTTTCTCTTACCACTGCAGAGGCAGCCAAGCCTCAAGCATTTCGAGACCCGTGGTCTGCAAGGATCTTTGCTCCTTCCGAGCGGAGAGTTTGGCATTGGCTTACATGCAGCAGAGGGAAAAACAAGGCACCAGCCTCGACCAGCTTGGTTTTAGTGGCCAGGGCAGATGCCAAGCCGTCATTCTGCTGTGTCAGCTGCTCTACAGCTCGCTTCAGCATGGAAGCATCCTCTCAGATTGACATTTGACATGGTATGCTGCAACTTCCAAGAAGCAAGTCCTCCGTCCCCGTGGACTTTGACTGCAGTTGCAGAGCTTGTTGCTGGGCACGTTCAAGTGCCTTGGCCAAGACTGCTGCCACCATGTCGTTCCAGCCGTGTTGGAGAGTAAGGTCTACACTGCGGCCCGGTGCCTCAATCGGACCACTTCGGCGCGGTGAGTCTTGTAGTAGTTCCACAGAGCCTGGCAGTTCCGCCAGCGATTTCGTGCAGTGAGGCTCGACCTGGCTCGGCCTCGCGGTGCCACTCCACTTGGACCTGCACTTTCTAAACAGGGACCGCCGGGACCGGCATCAGCAAGCCACAACTTGGCGACTTGATGATACTTGATGCCATTCGATCCTGCTCGGTCCAGGCATCATTGTCCGCGGCCCACTCGGTCGTGTCTTTGACTTCCTGCCAAATAAGCGCTTGCTAATGCATAGCAATTCCCGGCTATGGGGCCGTGAACTTGATGATGACATGATGAAAAGATATGAAAAGTCCGACATGCAAGGCATCACATCGAAAGCCATCCGAAAGCAGTTGGCAGTTCGGCACCCCGAGAGCGCCCCACAGAGGGGCCGAGAAAACGTGCCGAGCCGAATTGAAGCGCCTTGCGCATGGCCGATTTTGTGCTGGACGGATCCGGAAAGTGATCCTCTTCAGAAAAGCCCTGAGGCAATGGTGTGTCCTGGTGAGGGTGAAGGCTCCCCCCTGCTCTTTGGTCCGCAAACGTGCTCGGGTCTTTCTTCGCTCAAAGCACCACTGCTCTGCAGACCGGACGGTCGGACAGGCAGGGGCCAAAAGCAAGGTCAAGCCGGGAACTCAACAACAACAATCCTTCTTAAGGCGTTGCGGCGGAGACTAAAAGCCTGCGTAATGTCGCATGCTGTCGCATGTCGGAGATTGCTGTCAAGCGTGCAGTGTCAGAATATGTATGATGCAGGGCTGCGACACCCCCCCTCCCCCCCCACCCCATGGTATCCTCCCCGTGGTGGCACCCTTTCCCCCTGCATCCCCACCCTCTGTGGTTTCGTTGTTGTGGTGGGCTCTGCACCCCCTTAGCTGAGGCTTTGGCTGGCCTGAATTGGAGTACGAAACACGTGCAACACAAGGACCAGGGTCGGCGCCAACAGCTCCCCACTTGGAGTGTCGGGTGACGCATAGTATCTTATAGAAAGTAGGTAATAAGTAGAGTCATAAGTACCCCAAATTGGGGTTATAATACTTGTAAGTGTATAAAACAACTACTTACTGACTAAGCCCCCCGACTCTCCAAGCAGCCGTCCCCGTCCACGGTAGCGTCGTCCCGCGAACGCTCGGCGCCCACAGCACCGCTCCCAGCTGTCCACGTCCGCGGCCCAACCCCGAGGGGTTTTGGGGAGAAACAACAACGTTGGAGATGAATCGCAGCAAATGAAAGAAACACGAATGGCGGAGCAGATGATTGACGGGCACGCCTCCAACCTCAACGCTAGCTCCTCGGCCTCAATGTCCAGGAGTTCCTGTCTGACATGTCCGACTGGCGAAGGGTTAGTGTCTCAGGAAGCACAGCAGAAAAACTCTGCCTTCTCCTTCAACTCCTTCGCAAGCTGCTCCTGCAAGCGCCTGCAGCTCTGTCAACAACGGGTGCCCTTGGTCTTTGCAGGGACTAGGCGGGCTGCTCGACGACCGCCCGCAAGCTTCCAGAACCAGAGGCCTCACAGGAAAATCCTACAGCTTGAGGTATACTGATGCTCGAGGGCTCAAAAATTGGCCTCGGTGAGTTGCTGGGGATCGGGGATATCTGCACCATCGTCCTGCCCACAGAACAGGACGACTGAAACCAACTCAACGGCACTACGCTGCTCCAGGCAGGCCTGTGGCAGGGCCGAAGACTCTGCCTTCGCTGGAGCTGAGGAACTGTGAACTCTTCACTCCATGCCCCTGCGGCACCTCAAAGGCCGCTCGCTCCTTTTCAAGGGTGCCTTGGTTCTTCGCAGCTTCCTCTGCCTGGACCGGTATCGCGTGGCGTCGCGTTCTAGAGCAGCTCAGGGCTCCGGGGCCTGAAGACGGATCTCTGCGGCCTAGCAGGGCAGCAGGGAAGCACTCAGTCTGCGGTCTGCGGTCTGCGCCTTCCTCTCCTGTGCAGCAGCAGCCGCTGCAGTGGCTGCTGCTGCCGCAGCTTTGGCCCTCTCCAGCTCCGCTTCAGCTTGCTCGGCTTGCTCCCTCGCACCTGTCAGCCGCGGACAAATCACTTCCACCGATGCGTCAAGTTCACCAACCAGCCTTCACTTTTGCCTTGGATCTCCTCCAAATCAGCTGTAACTTTTGATAGCTTGGCCTCCGTGGTCAAGTTTGTGGTTCAGAAGATGCTGGCTCAGAACTCAGAACACGTGCCGATTAGCCGCTGGCCTGCAAGTCTTCTGCTTCCTCTGCAAGCTGCGCCGTCAACTTTGTTGCGCGTGCCTTGCTGTGCGGACACTTGAATGAAATTTAGAATCCATATCCTCATATAGAAGACAATTCGTAAAGCAGCCTCTGCTTCTTTGGCAGCTTCTGCAGCAGCAATCGCTTTCTCTGTCGTCGCAGATCTTGCTGGAGGATTGAAAGAGTCTGTCCTAGGCCGCATCACGAGCGTTCTCCAATCAATGCTAGTACTGAGTGAGTACTTTGAGGTTTCCGACATCACAGCTGCGGCCAAGGAGCATTGCTTGCTGGGCCTGCCGGGGGTACAGACACCGGGACACCAAGCCATAAATGGGGAAATGGGCATCCTGGCATCGCGCCTTCGTCAGGTCGACCACAGTCTGGTTCTGCTGGGCAGGGAGGTCAGTGGACGGAGCAGAAGACACCGCAGCAGGGGGCGCAGGGGGTGCAGCAGCAGGCGGCGGAGCAGCAGCAGGCGGCGGAGCAGCAGCAGGCTGCGGAGCAGCAGCAGGCTGCGGAGCAGCAGCAGGCTGCGGAGCAGCGGCTGGTGCAGCAGAATGCACAGCAGCCGCTGCCGGTTTGGATGCCTCAGCATTGGCCTCACTTGCTTTGCTCGCAACCGGCTCAGTTTGCGAGACCCGTGGAGTGGGAGTCTCTAGTGCTTTTATGGGCATGGCTGACGAGGTTTGAGGTGGCTCCGACTCCGACTTCACCGGTTTGCTCTCAGGGGGCGAAGGCGTCGGCTTTGCTTCGGCCTCCTTCTCGGACTTGGGCGACTCGGATTTGGCCTCCGACTCGGGCCTCTTGGCTTCGGGAGCCGCTCTGGATTGGCGAGTCGGTGACGCAGGTGTGGGGCTGGCGGCTTTGGCACTCGGACTCCCAGGTGATGAAGTGGACACTCTGCCAGTTGCCATCGGAGTGAGGGTGACTTGTGCCGGGCGGACGAAAATTCCATGGTTCGCTGGGCATGTGAAGTACACCACATCTTTGACCGTGCCATCATTCCTGCGCACAAAATCGCACGAAACCTACCTGCTTTGTCTTTGCTGCGGCTGTATGATTCTATGCACCCATGTCCTTCCAACCGGATCATCCAGTTGGATTCCCACCCAAGCTCCGCCAGCAAACTCTGTCTGGCCACAGAAACGGACCTGTAAGCATCCGTGCTGAAAGGTAACGATAGCATCTCCAATCAGCGCAGGTCACAATGAGGCCAGAACCGTCCCAGCACGGTTGCTCACGAAAACCCGCTGCCCAACTGAGAAGTTTGCGCCTGGACACAATGCAATATAGAGTTTCAACCGGCCAATGGCCGGCTTGTCTGCCTGGAGGTGTGCCCTCCATGCCGCTAGCATGAAGGATCCATGCTTTGATGGCGCGTGAGGCTCTACTTCTGGCTTTCACCTCAGAGCCAGAAGCTTGGCGGACCGAGGCTGCCCTGAGGAATCACACCGTGAAGCAGGTGTCAAGAAGCTCTGTGCTGGCAGTCCTCGATGGAGTCTCGATCACGGCCGCCACGGACAGCCTGGATGGATCGCCCTTCGCTTCCTAGGTAGTCTTTCAGGAAGTGTTCCGGGCGAGCACCTCTGCCAGCCGCGAGCTTGCAGGGCTGCCTGTGCAGAGATGGAGTGTTTCACGGAACGGATAAGGCAGCATCATGGCGAAGGTAAGGAGCCTGAGGTAGGCTGAGTGACAGCGCTTCTTCGTGACTTCAGCTGGCTCAACTCCTTGCGAGAGAGGCTGCGAGCTATTTAAAGCATCGCAGAAGCTCACGGTTTGGGGCTTGGGGTCTGTGCAGGTCCCAGGTCCTCGCAGATGCGGCCGACCGCTTCGGCCATGGAGTCCAGGCCCAGCTCACTGCTTTGCACCTGCAAAAAAAAGCAGACCGCAGAGAGTCCCAGCCACGTTACGACCTTGGACCGGCGGGCGCCGAGGAGAGCGCCCGCTGCCACAGGGACGTCAACTCCTCGCTCATCTCCGTCAGCTCCTCGCGCGCGCGCGCGCGAGCGCGAGCGCAAAAACGAAGCTTCCTGCACTTGAATGAGCTGAGACTCCTCGCGCATTTCTCGGGCATCTTCGGAGAAGTCTTGTGCAGTGACTGCCTGCCACGTCGAGCTCGTTCAACAAGGCAAGACACTCTGCAGCAAAGCAGGCAAGCGAAACTCTCTGAGCGCGGAGAGCCAGGCGCAGGGCCCTTTCCCCAACGCTATCTACTTGAAGGCGAGCTTCTTGTGTTTGCACAAGGTCCTTCCAGAATTGGTGTTTGGACCGAAAATGTCTAGCCTGAAGCGTCGCCCGTTTCCTGGATCTCAGAACCGAAGGTCTGCATGCGAGCATCTAATTCTGCAACCTGGCGATGCTTCTCCGATTCGAGTTGGACTTCACTAGATAGGTCTCTGCAGCACCTGATCCTCCAGCATTGCTGTGTGCTCCTGCGCTCAAGTCTCAAAGTGTCAGGGAATAGAAAGCCTCGCCAATTTAGGTACAGTGTGTCCTCCAGCTCGTTACGGAGCAGATCCATCTGCACAGAAACCTGCCCAGAAGAAGGCCAAGTCAGCTCAAGAGGGCCTCCCTTCTTCTGCACTGCATTGTCTGAGCAAGGCCATCAGGTTCATCGTCACAGGTGGTACATGAACAGGCAAGAACCCTTTGACCTGCTGGCACGTTTCCGCCAGCCCGCTGGGTTCCTGTCAAAGTCAAAGTCAGACGATTTCCTGCAATCAGTGCATGCCCACTTGGCTTCACGTGAAGCGATACCGCTTAGGATCCTCGACATGTTGCACTCGTAGGGCGAGTTGCTCCATGGCCTCGTGGATGCCTGCTACCAGCTTCAACGAGGTTTCACTACGGGCCTGCAAACCGCCTTGTAAGCTCGGCCCCAGAACCTGGAAAGCACAAGCGGCAAGGACACAAAGCGGACAATTTCGTGTCTTGGTGGTGGACCTCCGATGTGCGCTCAGAGACGTGCGGAGCCCCGCGCTCCACCTGTGCCAGCCTTCGTGCAAACCGGCTGCTTTGGGGTACTCGTTCCTCCCTCCAGTGCCTGCCGACCAACTGCAACAATTTCGAGTCCAAGTCTGCAATCTGAGCCGTCCTGGGTGTCAGTAGCAGTCCATCGCATGCACACAGCATGTATGGGTCATCAGAAGCAGACCATAGGCGAGCAATAAGTAGGCAGGTCAAGATTCACTTTGTCCGACTGAGATTGCAGATCAATGAACTTGCCACGCGACTCCTGCAGAAGACCACATCCACTGTTTCGAACTCATGAAACCTTGCGTCCTCCAGCTGCTGCAGCTTCACTTCCAGGATATCGAAGCGCTTCCACACCGCACTGTCCTGTAAAAGGCTTGGGCCGTTGGGGTGGTCAGGGTGGTCAGAGTGCAGCTGACAAGGATTCGAGGCTCGCACGGTTCCAACTCTGTTTCCCGTGGCCTCGGCACCTGGTGGGCCGCCTTGTGGCAGCTGGCCCCTGGCCGACAGAAAAGTGCAAAAGTCACTGCAAGTCATGCTTTTTTTCCCACCTGATCAGGCTTTGCACTGCATCCGCCAGGCCATCCACCTCCCCCACAGGCCAACCCTCTGCTTGTCTGACGGCATTTCTTGGCCGAGGGGCTTCTGGGAAATTCCGTAAAGTCGACTGCGGTACTCAAAAACCCTTACGCTGCCGAAGGAGGAGCGCCCTCTCTTCCTCCCTCCCGGTAGGCTCCCGCACATGGCCCTGCAGCTCGGCCCATCTCCCGGATGCCGCACTCGTGCAAGCCACCTGCCGAGGCTCTGCGAGGCTCTGCGAGGCGAGGCTCTGCGAGTGCCTCCTCCAGCCGCTTCTCCAACTTCTCCAGCTTCCGCTCCATCTGCCGCCTCTCCACCTCCCGATCCCAACATTTCCCGACAGCGGAAGACCCTCCACCCTGAAAGCCTCGAGCTGCTGCTCCAGACGTCTGATGGCCAACGGAACTGCTGAACGCTCGGTTCGAGCTGCATCATCCGGCTCCTGCGTTGTGCAAGATGCTTCTGCTTTCTTGCGAGGCGGCTCGAACACATTCCTTGTGGCGAAGCTTTTCCACTGGATGTGCCTCGAATACCATGGAAACATGTCCAGGAAACTCTCAACGAGTCTCTTGCGTGCCTCAGAGTGCTCTGCAGCTGCTGCGCACAGTGCAGCAGCCTTGGTGTCTTGCATTTCCTGCACAAAGTGCAAGTGGGGAGTCAGAAACTCTCGGACCAAGTCGTTCGCCAAGGCCGCCCCAGGCCTCCTTCAAAAGAAACTTGCAAGTCCACGCAAACCCACAGGAACTGCAACAGCCGAACAAATTCTTGTGCCGGTGGAAAGAAAGCAAAGCCTGGGTTGATCCCCTGCGCGGGTCACCATGATGCCGGTTGCCTCAGCCTGCACTCGGGAAGCTGCTTCAGCAAAGCAGTCTGAGCCAGTTGCTGGAGGGCTGCGTGTTCGCATCAAGAGTCCGGAACACATATGAGTCACATGTGTCAAGCAGTTGCAAGTACTGTGCTTCCAGAAACTTGTGTATGGAATACGAAAGTCTTGCTCGGTATTGTTCAGTGGCTGCCGGGCATTCATGCTGCTGAGACACATGCTGCTCTTCACTTGGGAACGTCTGCGCTGGCCATAGTCCAGATCGAGAGGTAGGTTACAAGTGCACGCAGCTCCATGCCACAGGAAGATCATGACTCATGACCCATTCTGAGCACAAAAGTACCCTTTTTGCTGGCCCCTGCTGTACTGTCACGGTGCATGACTATCTTGGCCAGCAGGTGGAGTTGAACGATGGCCACCGTTTTTCAGAGAATAAGTTTCCGCCAAACTCAACAACAACATCCTAGAGCCTGGAGAGAGGTTGCAAAAACTGCTCGTCTACAGCTGAGTTCCAAAGTCTTCAGCAGATAGAGAAGGACGGCAAGTGTATGAGAACAGTGGCGCCTGAACGTGGCATGCGCAGAAACATGATCTCCACAGCAAAACATGCAAAAGCATCGGCTTCACGATCGATTACGGCTGTACATATGTTGGACAACACGATAGTGGAGATCCTTGCAAAAACTTGGGAACTTTGCACCTGTTTGGCACAACCTGCCTGCCAAATGCGTTCCTTTAAGCTGCAACTCCCATGGGGGTCCCACTCTGGCATTGCTTCCGAAATCATGGCTGCACAGGTGCTTCTTCGCTAGCCTTCGGAGAGCCGTCCCATGTCCAGTCGCTTCTGACCAAATTTGGAGAATCCCAGCATGGCATGAAACCGACACGAGTCTGCCACGCTATGGAAGCAGAGCAGTCATGCTCTATCTGGCCTGTCACATCGCAACGGCCCGGCCACCTTGCGACGTCTTGTGCCCGGTTAGCATTTCGATGGTGCTTGCATGTTTTGGGGCATATTTCTCGACTAAATCAGTGCATCTCCGTGCTAGCACCATTCAGGAACAGAAAAGACTGGGCCTTCAAAGGTAGAAAGCGATAGATTTGTGCACAGTGACATCTCCGGGGTTGAATGAGCTCGCGATTTGCACAGCACGATAGTCCCGTCGCTCAGAGTCTAGCTGCGACAATGTCGGCCCGTTCAGGTCCAAGGAAAAGAAAGAACGCTTCCGGAACGGGACTATCGTAAATTAAAAGTGCCCTTTCGTGGCCCCAGAGAAACGAAATGTTGGCCAGGCTGCCAGGGCGACGTCGAATCTAGGGGGAGGCAGCTCCAGGCTGCGGTTTTTTAGCGCTTACGAAAGGAAGTCTCTGCTCTCTCCATCAATCGAGTCTCCAGTTGAGCGCCTCCGCGCGAGGCCGTCTTCGACAGGCCAGGTATACACCCTGGACAAGGGCAGCCAACTGTCCTTGCCAGAATGTTCAAGAGAGCCATGCATATGGTACAGCCGTTGTCGTTGTAGACAAGGCTATTGCAGTCCTCTATCTACAAAGGGATGGCGTTCTGCCAGGCTTCCGGAACAAGAAGCCAGACATAACAGGAAGCCAGACATAGCGGCTTGGCCCAAGCAGCACAGTGCAGATAAATTCTTGTCAGAGTGCGGCTTCTTAGCGATCCAGACCAGTTCTCCTGGAGACTGCAAACTTCCCAAGCTCAGGAAAGCGAAGTCCAGGCCTAACCCGAGCCTCGGTGGCTTCCTCTGAATGCGGCCCGCCCGAGCGGATTGACCATCCTTCCCGAACGGGCCATCTGCGTCCTCCTCTTCGGGCAAGTAGCCCAACTCCTCGGCCGAATGATCGGGCGAAGGAGAGGGCGACAGCGGAGAGTCGGAGCCGAGTCCTTCAGGAGCCTCTCGGCAAACCGCGTCTCCTTGGACGCGCCCTGCCGTCAGCACACCAAACACACTGTTTAGAACCCTGACTCGACGGGCTCTGGGCTCCTTGAGCTCGGGAAAGCGGCCGCTGAGGCCTAACAGCGGTCGGGGGTATGGGCGAATCATGGCATGAGGGAGAGCTCTGATTCACAAATTCGGGCGGACTGGGGCTCGCCGCCTAACAGCTGTCGGCGAGCCTGTCAGAGGACACAGTGGCCCATGGGAGCATTTGCGGGCCGCTCCTGCTTATCTGGCCTCAGCTTCAACGTCACCCCCGAGGTTGAGAAGCGCCTTGACTACAAAGCCACCGTACTGCGTGCGCCTGGCTTCCAAGCTCTCTACACTTTCGTCGGTGCATCTCTACCCTCGGAACGTGCGGGTGGCACGCCAAAGTCTCAACTCCAGTGTCCTGATGCCGCGGGTCCTGCAAGCAGGATACAAGCAGTCTTTGAGACTTTCTATGCTTCGATCTTCAGGCTGTGCATCTCCTGCTGCAGCAACTGAACAGCTAAAGCACGCCTGCATTGCATCGGCATCGGAACATGGGCTTAAACCTTTCCGGCCGGAGCTCCCACAAGCGTGCCTGTCATCCACTGAGCAATAGGTAAGGGCCTTCTCGATCACGTGGCTGGCATTTCCTGATAGGCTGCGAGATACCGGACAGTGTCAAAACGGGTCAGACCACTGGGTCGCATGCGATGCTGGGCGAAATCCACGATTCGGGGACCTGAGAATTGCCAGCGGTCTCCAGAAAGGCCCCCAGACCCGGGTGGACTTTTAGCTCGGCGCAGAGAGCTCCAGCGAGCGTATGCCTCCCCCGACGCGGGCCAGCAAACCCAACCCCCTTTTTGAAGAAACACGGCCTCTGATCATCTGTCCCATGCTCAAGGATGGCTTGGGCCTGCAAGATGGGTCACGAGACTGGCCAGTCCGGAGCTTCGCATCTTGCCAAGACCCAGGCCACATACCTTCCGAACTGGTTTTGCACCAGGTCCTCTGAGTCTCTCATCACCTGTGGGGCCCTAAGGCTGAGGGCTGTGGTGACTGTGGCAGAAAAAGCTGATGCCTGCCTTCGCAAGGAGCTTCTGCGTAGAAGTGAGATTGGCCGACTGTTCGAGCAGTCGGCAGAAGATTCTGCAGCCGAAGACGTTGCGAGCAACCTGCGCCCCACAGGTTGCACCGCTCCAGGTTTGAGAGTCTGGGCCGGTGCCCTCCTGTGCCTCTGCGGCCCTCGTCATGAGTTCTTCTGCAATGAAGCTCGTCTTCGAGGACGGTAACACCTCAAGAAGCATCTATCACATGGCCCCCTCTCCTGGAAACACAAACTGCCTCGATGACGCGCTGGAGCACGTGATTCCCATGCAAGGACAGTGAAACCTCACGATGGGCAAAGTGCACACGACGGTCGCATTCGTCCTTGTCATGGTCGGAGCCTCTGCAATGTGTCCCGTCAACTCTGCTGACAGCTCCGTGGCGGTTTGGCGAGTTGCCACCTGTCCAGGCACGTCATTCGTCCAGTGCCTGCTCTCGACATGCTGGCCAAACAACCTCATCCCCGCAAACAACAACTATGCCGAACCAGGATGGGACAGCCGCAAAAGACGGATCAATAGCCGAAGCTTAGCAACGAAAGTTCTGAGAACAGAAGCCCGCATCAAGCACTGCAACTTCGCCAAGCTGCCTAGAAACCGAAGAATCCGAAGACGAGACAACCACTCATCAGCATCTCAACAGCAAACCCCAGAAGGACCGTGCGCCAGCCTTCAATGCCATCTGCACGGCACGACTGGAGCTCTCAGACTTGGTTGCAACCCAGGATATGCAGCATGCTGAATGCGGCTGCTCTGTAAAAATCGAAGGCAAGCCACCTCCATTGCCAAAGCCACCACATTCCCCTGAATCTGGTGAATGGCATCAAGACGCACCTGCAAAGCACGGCGGCAGTACTGAGAGCAAACTGCTGGATGCAAATGGAAGTTCGATGTATCTCTGCACAGGCACCAGACCTCGTTGTCGCCTACCTCCAAATGTGACCGGAGCGTCTGGAAGAGCTTGGCATGATCAGAAGCTGATTTGACACCAGGCTCCTGCGAGCACCACACACTTCAGCTGTTACAATGACAAACGGTGCAAAACTTGCCGTCGTTTCTGCCCGAAACCGCAATCCAGTCACCGCGAACTTGCTGGAGCTACGGGACACGGGCTGTGTGCAACATCAGATAAATCCCACACAGTTGCTGCCTTGCGCCGCGTCCGCAGTTTACCGCTCGCCTGCAAACCAGCACGTGCGAGCAAAGCATTCACGCAATAACATAATGTCGCCACAAGACCTGCCAAAACTAGATGTATGCGACTCACGCCCATTGCCTTCGCACTCGTCGTTTCCGCAAGACCTGGACAGCAAGTACAACCAACGCCACCAGCACCTTCTACAAAGCAGCTCAGGTCGATGCCAGGGTGGGCCTTGGTACTAACATAAGCCGTAGGAGATACGAACGCAGACTAACTTGATCCTGCAACGGCGCTGAGGACGCTGCATGTGGACGATTGTCATGCTGCATTGAGACGGCTTGCTGCTTCTGCTGATGCTGTGGCTGATGTTGCTGGTGCTTCTGTGCAGTGGCGGCCTGTGGCTCAAGTTTCGGTTGCTGCTGCGCATCAGTTTGATCCTGTGCATTTCCAGTTTCATGTTCTGAAGTGGGAACTTGGGCTGGTGTCAAACGCACGGGTGTGTTGAACAGCGGCTTGGGCTGGGAATCGTCTGACACCCGCACAACTTGGAACTGGGAAGGTGGATGAAATATCTTCTTCTCCATCTGGTCGGGGAGTTGATTTTGCTGAACTGGTTGCAAGGGGGGCTGTTGCAGGGGCATCTGTTGCATCTGCGACTGCATTTGAGCAGCCTGTTGCATCTGCGCTTGCAGCTGTACTTGTTGAATGTGAGCTTGTGCTTGTTGCATTTGCGAATGATGCATCTGCACATGCTGCATCTGATTTTGTTGCGGCTGGACCTGAGCCTGTGCCATGACTTGCTGCAGCATCGCCTGCTGAACTGGTGGCTGTGGCTGGGGCTGTAAAGTTGCCTGCTGCGCTTGCGTCTGCATTTGTTGCACCTGCAAGTTCTGCCCATTTTGCATTGCTTGATGTGGCCACCATGCGGTTGTCGTGTCCACCATGCCACTCATGTTCGTATTTGCACTTGTGGCAACGGTTGCATTTGTGGCAGCATTGCCATCACATGATGGAGCCCACGACACCATAGGACCTGTCAGGCTGGAGCACACCACAACGTGACTGAACATCTTTGATCGACCTGTCATGCCCGTCTGCACGTACACCATTGGGTATTGGATCATGTTCGGGATGTTCGGCGCAAAGCACACCTGTTCCGACACGTGGTACCAAGTGCACGCACATGCTGCTCATTTTAAGCTTGCGACCACGTCCCCAGAGGGTGCCATCAATGTCATGCAAGCACCTTCGAGCTGTTTTTCCTCGGCTTGCACCGAGGCGGCACCTGCTGAAACTCTTGCTGCGGTGGTGCACTGGCTCAACTTGGACAATCCGAGTGGCGTCACTGGATAGCTCCAGTCAAATCCTCAATGAAAAAACCTAACCTACAACACCTGCGGACAATAAAGCTGCGGACAAACATGCAATCAACGGAAAGCGCTGTGTGCATGCACAAAAAGCAAGCATCGAAATGAGGGTCGGCAGTTTCTCCTTGTTGAGCCTGTAGGGCCCTGATGATGTACGAAATTTACGAGAATGGGGATGCTGACTGCATGATGTAAAAACAAAACCGTTGCGAGATAGCTGATGCTGTGTAATCGCAGCGTGCCGCCTGTCCTCGTGTGTCTCCACAGTCTGCCGGGGGGGAGCTGTATTCCGAACGACAACGCTACTCACCTGTCATTCTGGACAAGCACGGGTTGCGCTCTGCACAATGACCAAATCCCAAACAATCTTCGTCAAGTCAGCTGATACCAAACAAGTTGCCCGTGCAGAAACCTGGTACATGAGTCAGTTGCAATCTGCTGTAGATAATTTTCCGCCAACCCCGAAGTTCAACATAAGCATTCTGCACCTTTCAAGTCAAATCGTTGTGGATCCCGCATAGTGCTCCTCACCGGGTGTGCAGGTGTGGAACATTCTGACCTCGGCTGTCCAATTGGTATCAGTGATCAACGAAACCACCGACAACATCACCATCCTCACCACCCTCATCAACACAATCATCAACATCAGCATCAACATCATCATAGCATCTGCATTTCCATCTGCGCAATTTGCCTCATCAGACCAAAAACATCATCGTCGTCATCTTGGCCACGACCATCATCATCGTCATCCTCATCCGGGTCAAACTTGTGTTGGGGAGGGGAGGGGAGGGGTTGGGTGACCCAATGTCCCCCTTTCAGTGGAAGGATATGGGTGCAATGCGATCCCGGAAGATCGAAAGGCTTGCCCTTCTGAGAGTGTGTAGTGCATGAGTGTCAGCATGTGAAGTGCCTGATTCTGTTTGCATGTTTGCCAAACGGCTCTTCTTACAACACTGTGATTTCCAATCTTTTCTTTAATGCTTTCTGAAGAAAAGTGAGACTTTGCTCCTAATGATCGTGCCTTCACAAGGGCCGAAAACATGATGTTCCTCGGTATTTTCGACTCGGTCGAAAAAAAGGCATATGATGGTGCTGATGGACTTGTTGAAAAGACTCGTTTTGAAATGCCCGAAGGAGCTCATTTCAAACACTTTCGTTTGGACTCAGTTGAATGGAATGAAGAGACTTACAGGTGCGGCTCCAATTTGTGAGAACACATGCCGCAACTTAACTGCTGTTGAAGCAGATGTGTTCAAAAACAAGCAGCACCTGGGTGCTATTGTGGAGCTACACAGCTGCATTTTGCGGAAGAATGGTTTACAGCAATAAACCAGGGAGTAAGAACGATTTTCCGCGTTGTGTGCAATCTTCCTGTAGTTTGCCAGCGATGAACAAATCTGGGGATCCGCTCTGTGCGAATTTCCCAATTGCCCGAAAAAAAGAAAAAGCCATTTTTTTCATTCATGACGCAGCATCCAGTTTGTAGGGACGCTTTGCGACCGCATCTCCAGAATAGAACAGAGTCTGGCGTGAAGCTGTACCTTCGTGCATTTTCCATGGTGGGGGGATCCCGCCGCGTACGGCAAAGAGATACCAACTTGCAAACAATGCTTCTGTCACGGATGACCAAGACATGACTGTCAGTGATTATTAACAAACATAATTCAAAGAGCTACAACTAAAGAGAAATGCGGACAGTGTACAAAGGCATGCAAGAAAGAAGTTCTCTAGGTCGCACTGCTCTAGCACTTAAACCCTTCGATGCACTCTTTTTGACGTGTTGCTTCTGTATTGGCTTGGGGCTAGAAGGAGGGGCCTAGGCCCCGAGGCTGGGCCCTAGGCAAAAAGGT